GAGACAACTTTTTGTTTGGTTTACAGCTATAAATAAATAAATTAAGAATAATATCAGGATTTAATTGGATTACTTTATTTTTAAGCTAATCTTAAATTAAGAAAAAGTTGAACTGAGTGAGTTCTTGAACCAGGAGGGATGTTCTGATGACACATAATGCACAATTGTTCATATAAGTTGCTGAAAACCCACATGCAATTTGCAGTTTGACATCTTGGACTGGTTCTGAAGTGCCCAGTAGTGTATCACATGTGCAGGGTTGATGAAAAACTAGGCTGACAAGAACTTGTGACTTTATGAGACCACATCCTGTTCTGCTACCAAACAACAACAACAAAATCTAAGTCTGGAGCACATGGACTTGAACTGAAACAAAATGCTGATGGCTGTGGAACTGCACTTTTGTCCAGGAGGGGGGAGCTGGACTAACATCATGATGAACTCTTGAACTCTGAACTTGCAGTATCTCCAAAGTCACACTGGAGAGAACCTGAAGCGGGCTGTCACTATACGTCTGGATTTGAGTGTCGACGTTTGCATGTGATGTACGGTGGTGCGTTCACTCTGGATCCAGGATGGATGCTGCAATGTTGCTCTGACATAAATGCACCCACATAGACACACTTTTCAAACATTACAGCAAAATTTTGATTTTGAAAAGTAGTATTGTGGTCACTTGGGACACCTGCCTAGTTCAATGACTTTTAGACAAAAAGAAGAGATTTATAATTTTACAATCTTATATCAAAAATGAATAATGCTACCCCTGAACAAATTATTGGCTTTTCCATTGGGTTCATTTTGTCTTTACAGATTAGACTAAGGACTCAGGGACAAGAATGAAAAAGTGTTGTTTGTATTCTCTTTGGTTAACAAATGTTGGTCTGCAATATGAGCTGGAAAACCTGAACTGTGGTTGATCTCACGTTTCATATAGAGCGCTAATTTGGAAAATAAATACATAAATAAATTATCATGTACTGGGGATGATTTGGTTCACACATAAACAGTATTTTGGGCAAATACAAAACGGGAATCTTATTAACCAACAACCAAAATGGGAAAAGTTTACTTCGATGTTTCTGAAACACTGCACACTGGTGTACTGTTTCAGAAAAATAGGGGAGGTATATAGTGATGTACAGATTTTATAGATTTGCCTTGCTAGAAAATTAAAAAGGGATGCTAAAATACAAATTTTATCAACTTCACAACAAAACATTAAGGATGCTTTTTGAGAAAATTGAAGGATGCTTCATCACCTGTGTAAATTAGAGATTTTGATAACCAAAGAATCTCACTTTTATGTGTACAGGACAGTTCTCTTAGGGGGACGCCCCTTTTTCTGAGACCTTTGTAGACCTTTTTTTGACCTTTTTTTTAGACCCAGGAGAACAATGAAAATGTGGTGGATCTATATTTTTAGATATATTAGCTTGACTTGACTTTACTTGACTGGACTATCAAGAAATTAATTGAGTTTTCATGTATAGAGTGTTTTAACCACATTTTTATGATGAGCACATATTTGTTCTGCCTAAACAGAACTCCAGAGGAGCTATGGCAGAGCTGGATAACTGATTTTGATTTCCTTTTATTTGTTCTATCTCGATCAGAAAACGCAATGTTTGATGTTGTATTGTACTGATTTGAAAAAATATATATTTTCTGCGCATGTGTTTAATAATTTTTCCCTACAGACAGGAGGAGGTAAGACAAATAAATGTATTATCTTAACTAAAAACTTTAACTTTTTGATTCTGATTACTCATTTTCACTGCATGTGGTAATAACACATAATGTCTTTTGATTTCTATTTTCTCTTGTGAAAATAACTGTGCTTGTTCTAGGATCCAGAGTAAGGACTTTTGAGAATCCGACATAACTTTTTCTTGGTTCAGGTTTGTAAACATGAAAGTACAAATGAAATGTGATTTATGTTGTTCTATAAAGCTATTACAGTGTAGAAGTAATAAGGAAATATTTTATTTTGACAAACCCCTTTAGTGGAAGAGACAGAAAATACAGTTACATGCCTTAGAGGGCTGCATTTGGACTAAAACATAGAACATCATATGACCTACAAAAAAATAGAAAAGATCTGAAGATAGACCCCCTAGACAACAATGCAGGAGATTTTTGTAGATTTTTGTGTTACAGGTGGTGGGTGAAAGGAAGACAGTCTCTGGGTGCAGCAACTGCTCTCACCTGAGAGAAGAAACGAAGGAATACAGAAAAATTCAGCACCTTTGTGTCAGGCTTCATTCATAGGTGACAAAACCAAAGGAGAGAGATGAACCTGGGAGGCCCCACACACTCGGTGCTGCTGAATGTCATCACAAGAGAAAGGGACCGAGGTGGACTGGACCTTATCAGGTGGTTGAGAGAACCTCACGCCAGCAGAGAAGCCAAACCCGTTGGGATCGATCTGGTTGATGAAAGCCCCCACTTTGTCAGGACAAGTGGCCTGACACACATTTTTCCTGAAAATCCTGAACTGAACTTATACCCCCAAAGAAAAACGACAAGATGGACACGCTGACTTAGGCCTCCTCAGTGCACACACACGTCCCTAGAAAGTTTAAAACATACTGATAACAGAGACTCACACACATGAAGAGAACTCCGCGGTCCTATAATTACATAACCGCTGAGCAACAAAGGACCCCTCACATGGGAGGGCCTCCCGACTCTTCAGAGCACCAAAACGCTGAGGGAAAGGAAAATTGATGTTGTTGCTTTTTATTTGGTCATTTCAGGAGAACAAAGTACAATAGTTTTATTACCAGAAATAATAGTTAAAATAGTCACAATGCTTTACACTCAGACCTAAAAACCTGTTCTATATTTATTATTTCAGATTGGTTTAAAGTGATGATTCAGTTATCTTTGCAGTTCATAAAAATAAAAAAAATACTGCTCGCTCATAAAGAGCCCACATAATTCTAGTTTTGCTTGGTCTTTGTGTGATTTGTTTTTCTGCCTTTGATTTACTTGTTCCGGGGCCCACAAATTGAAGATACTGAGTGAACCTGAAGTTCAGGGTCATCGCCAGAGAGGGCCTGGGGTGATGACGTGCTTTTCCTCCTACGCTCTTACCATCAGCCCTGGGGGGGGGGGGGTTCAGCGTCATTCACATAGAATGTTCAGTTAAACGTGATGCCCACATAAATTTATAGTTTGCATATGGTAAAACTTAGTTTTAAATGATAAACAGTAGGGAATGTTGGATAAAATGTAAATGTTATCATTTAAAACTGTTTTTAGACCCCTCATCATTTAATTAAACTCCAGTCGTGTGAACTAAAGAATAGCCATGTGTCTTGTTCATTTGCAGTGAGACCAAGACCTTGGGTTTTTAAACAACCATGATGTTATTCAGATCTGACCTCGCTACTCCGGCTATCCCGTTTTGTAATCAAGCTGTCTGTTTAGTAATCTTTTCTGGCTCCGCTGCGTCGGAGAAAATCTGTATCTGTTGATTTTGCCTGCTGCTCACTCCTCCTGCCTCACAATAAAACACGAGCTCTCCCATCGAACGGCGGACTTCACCTTGACGTTTGGTCAGGTCACGAACTCCCCCTCTGCAAAGGGCTCATCAAAATTCTTATACTCTGTCTTGTGTGTGAATTCTTTAAAGGTGATATGAGGGAAAAAATCCCTAACAATGGTGTTGAAGGCCCAAGAGAAATACAGAAAGAGCAGATGGATGTAAGAATTTCGGCTCTCCAGGTGGGTGAGGGCTGTGTGGACCAATTCCAATTTCCAATTAGCCTAACATGCATGTTAGGCTTATTAGTCACCCTAGTTTTAGCTAAGTAGCTCCCTAGGTGGTAGTGTGAATGATTGTTCATCTTGTGTGTCTCTGTGTTCATGTGATGTCCTTGCAACTCTTTTCAGGGTGTACTCGGCCTCTCACACAGTAACTACTGGACATGGGCTTCAGTGAGCCCTGTGACATGGAAAGGAAGAAGTGGATAAACATAATGGATGGATGCATATTTAAGCCGGTAGGAGCTACACTGTGTATAAGAACAAAGGTAGGTTTATTTATTTTTGCTTCTCCAAGGCACTTCAGAGGGATGGATTCTGGCAAGCAAAGAGAGCAATTGTATCTATGACCAGGCATAATGGCGATGCCAGGACATGACCATTGGTGGCCTTATCCACCATATGTTAAGCTTTGGCCTCCCCATTCATTTGAGGAAACTATACTTTTAAAGAATCCAAAAACTAGAAAGCATAGTTTCTTCAAAGATAGATGGCCAGTTTACATATATGTAAGGTGGTGGCCATCTTGGATTTTGATGTGGCAAACCAGTTTTTGATTGACATTTTTTACACCTAGATGAATCCACACACCAAAATTGATGTGGGCACATTGCTTGTTTTACATGTTGTCCAGCTCACAAGATGGATAAGCCATTTCCAATTATCCCTCTTCACTTTGTGACGGGGAACATATTTCTACTGCACAAGCATTGGCTTTTGGTTTGTTTTATAAATGTTTAGATAAAAAAAGTTTTATAAAGTTTGTTGAAAAATCCTACCTTGCTGTACAAGAGTTTCCTGCAGGATCAATAAAGTTCTATCTTATCTTATCGTATCTTATCTTATATGCCCTGCTACATTACACTCACTTTACTGCCGAGTGGTTTGTATTTCTGTCTCTGCTTTTGGAAAAAATTTTGTCAGTTTAATGAAAAAGAAAATGCTGGCCTTTGGCATTTGTTGGTCTCTTTTGTTGTGCCAAACCTGTACTGGATCAAAACCTTCATACTTACCTTCATGCAACTGTGACAGCATTATATTGTTATGCCCCTTAATATTTGGCTTCTTACAGTTTTTAAAATTTGTATTTTTATTTCAAGCTCCTTATAATATTCTGTTTTTTGTTGTTGTTTGTTTAAAAAGACATTTTAAATTCTATGTTCTGAGCAGATTTTGTGTGGAAACTATCTTGTTTTGTGAGTGCAATCACTGGATTGAGCAGACTTTACCAGCTCCATGTGTTTGCGGCTGCTCTCCTGCTCCCTCTGGCTCAGCTCCTCCATCTCCACCCTCATCTCCTGCAGGCGCTGATGGTAATAACATGCGTTCTCTCTCTCCCGAGCTTCAGCCTGGGCGCTCTGCTCCAGCTCCTCTCCAAGACGCACCACACTGTCCCTAAGACGCAGCACCAACACCTGCACATTATAGAAAATTAGGTCACATCCAGAAGAAACCCCAGCAGGGAGTTCAATATCAGATATGGTAATTGCATGTTGAAATTAAAAAAAGAGTAATCTGATCTTACCTCGAACCTCTTGACTTGGCCTTTCTGAAACTCCAATTTGTTTTCCAGGTCACATACCCGAGCCTCCTGCTTACTGACAATGCTGCGCCCCACAGTGGATGACTCGAGGAACTGCAGCCTCGACACACACTGTTGAAGCTGCACGAAGAGGAGGTTTGAAGCAGAGTCAGCACAATAATTTTAAATTCTGCACAGACAGTGAGCATGACAGAACACAACTTGCAGCTACATTAAGATGTGGTTTAATGAAGCAGAAAACTGTAACAATCTCATCTCCAGCATTTTCAACTGCACAGTCAGCTCATAAAGATTTTATTGCTGTTTTGATGGGCAGCACGGTGGCGCAACTGGTAGAGCTGCTGCCTCTCAGCGAGCAGGTCCTTGGTTCAAACCCCCGTCCAGGGGCCTTTCTGGGTGGAGTTTGCATGTTCTCTCTGTGCATGCGTGGGTTTTCTCCGGGTACTCCGGTTTCCTCCCACAGACCAAAAACATGCATGTTAGGCTGATTGGTAACTCTAAATTGTCCCTAGGTGTGAGTGAGAGAGTGAATGTTTGTTTGTCTCGTTTGTCTCTATGTGGCCCTGTGATGGACTTGTGACCCCGTCCAAGGTGTACCCCGCCCCTCGCACAGTGATTGCTGGACATGGGCACCAGCGACCCCCGTGACCCAAAATGGAATAAACGGGTAAAGATAATGGATGGATGGATGGATGCTGTTTTGATTTTCAGCTTGTCAAACAAGGGTTACCTCCTCTTGGAGTGACTGTCTCAGTTTCTTCACCTCCTCCAGTTCAGCTTGTAGGTCTCTGATCTGGGAGATGTCACTGGATGACTGAAAGTGACAAAGAGGTACTAAGGCTGTTTGTCTCATTCTCTGATAATTATTAAATAAATAGGTGATTGACAGTGCTACTAAGTAAGGGAAATACCTGTGCAATAAGTGCCTTGTGTTTCTTCATCAGCTCATTCAGGTCCTCCTGGTCTTCTTCGAGCCTCTTAAGGAAATCCACTTTCTCATGCTGCAGAATAGCCAGCTGTTCATCTGCCTGCACTCACAGGTAAAGGTGAACACGGTCACTTCACAGCTTCAGCTTGATCTAATCTGTGTTTACAAGGAGCAAGAATGTCTACAGAAATCAAGTTAAGATGACATTTGTTCAAATCTAATGCCAATTTAAAACAAGCGGTTCACTGATGCCCCGGGTCACTGAGGGATTTGATTTGTGAAAGTTTAATTTGTGAGATGAGTGTTTTTCTGGACTGGAAATGAACAGAGAATGCAAATATAACACTAATGTTTTTGGTGGAAGATATTCAAGAGGGTATGAATTACACTCTGTAAAAGAATAACGGTAGTTTATTTTATTGTTTTTATTTGTTTTTTGCTTGTCAAAGGCCGTGCAGAGTGACAGATCCTGGTGAGTGGAGGAAGCTTTTTTTTTCCCCAGCAGGTGCAATGATGGAGCCAGAGAGTGACCAATGATGGTGATTGATTTTCCTCATGCACCGGACATTCAGGCCATGCATTGATAAGAGGTCACACTCACCAGACTCTTCTGCCTGCAGATGTTTTCCAGTTCCACCTGAGTGTTCTCCAACTCCTGTGAGAGGGTTGACTGTATGTTCACAGCCTCCAGAAGCTTTGCCTCACTCTCCTCAAGCTGAACAGGAACACAGTTAGAAAAAGTTCAGGGTGAGTGCTAGTGGAGGTATGACTTTATGCACTAGTGAGCACACCTGACAGTGCAGATGTTCTATCTGGTCTTTGCTGTTATCAGGAAGGTTCTGGTCTGAGCTGTTGATAGTAGCCAAAAGCAGCTGAGCATCAGCCAGTAGAGCGTGAGTTCTTTTCAAGTCTCTCCTCAGCTTCTTCTCCACATCAAAATCTCTGTGTCCCACCTGCAACATGACACAACTTGGTTTACTTATAGTAGTACCAACATTTTGGATTAGTACCTGCTGTATCAAGGACATGCCTAAAATACTTCCAAGGGGAGATGACCAGAAGGCACCTTATTCAGATTCCTGTCACCACAGCTGATTACTTTCAGTGCAAAAAGAGCAGCTTTAGTTTCAGATTCTCTGGGTGGCTTGTTTCATTATTATTATCTTATATTTAAGGCCAAGCTCAGACACTCTACAGACAAAACTCATTTATGTTTCTTGTATCCAGGATTTATGTTATGACTTTGCATAGAGTAGTCAAAGTACTGTCCACTCCAGCAGTAGAAGACCAGCTACAACTAGAGAAATTGCACTTCCTGCAAAAATGCAGGGTAAATATTTATTGCTGAATGATTTTGCTGAAAGATACTGTAGAAGTTGAAATCAAGTTGAAAAGGTTTCATCTCTAAAATGTTAATGTGGGTTGAATTTAAACAGCTGAGCTGACATCTGATGTAAGCAGGGAAATAAAAACAGAAAGCAGTGAAAACATGGCAGAAGTCCATCCATCATCCATACATACATCCATCATCTATACCCGCTTCATCCTTTTTGGGTCGCAGGGGTCATCAGTGCTCATGTCCAGCAATCACTGTGCGAGAGGCGGGGTACACCCTGGACAGGTCTCCAGTCCATCACAGAGACACATAGAGACAAACAACCATTCACGCTCTCACTCACACCTAGAGACAATTTAGAGTTCCCAATCAGCCTAACATGCATGTTTTTTGGTCTGTGGGAGGAAACCGGAGTACCTGGAGAAAACCCACGCATGCACGGAGAGAACATGCAAACTCCACCCAGAAAAGCCACTGGATCGGGATTTGGACCAGGGTAACCTGCTCACTGAGAGGCAGCAGCTCTACCAACTGCACCACTGTGCTGTCCCGTGCTGGCAGAAATGTGTAGCAAAATGAGCAGGATTAGATGAAAAATGCAGAGCTAAGATGTAAAAAAGAAACTGAAATGAGCAGGAAAAAAAAGCTAAAAAAAAAAGTAGCTGAATTTTTTTTCAAAGTTAGCAGAAAAGAAAAATACTTAACAAAAAGGTAGTTGAAAGAGAGGAAAAAAAGCTGATTTTTACGGATAGAAGCTGAATGGAGCATAAAAGGTTGAAATTATCAAAAGGAAGCGCAAAAGCTGGAAATTAGCAAAAAGCAAAAGTGGCAGGGAAAAAAGGCTAAAATTAGCAGAAATCACCTAAAAAGAAGCTGAAAAAGCAATAAGTAAATGAAAATAAAAACTGAATATTGCATAAAAAGGCTGAAAAGAGCAATAAAATTGATAAAATAAGATGACGTTAGCACAAAGATGCTGAAGAAGGCTGAACCAAAACAAAAACTGAAATTAAATGTAAAAGGTTTTAATCAACACAAAGTTTTGAAGGATGTGGAGAACTCCATTCATTTTCAATAAGAAAATAATGTGGCCCAAAAGAAGCTGAATATTTGAAAAAGTAAAAATTGCACAAATACCAAAAGTCATAACAGGAATGTCCAGAACAAGCTAAACATTTTGATATATGCAGAAATAATTTATATTTAAATTATTTAAATAGCAAAAAAATGATATGCTATAAATCACACAGGAAAATATGGATCTCATCAGTGTGAATGCTTTTTCATCTTTTTCTTTTCAGCTTTTCCCTCCTCAGCCGTTGCCTTATTATAATATACTAATAATAAAATAATACTAATATATATATAAATACTAATACTTTTAATTATTATTAATATTAATATTATAATATAAGGGCAGCACGGTGACGCAACTGGTAGAGCTGCTGCCTCTCAGCGAACAGGTCCCTGGTTCAAACCCCGGTCCAGGGGCCTTTCTGGGTGGAGTTTGCATGTTCTCTCCGTGCATGCATGGGTTTTCTCCGGTACTCCGGTTTCCTCCCACAGACCAAAAACATGCATGTTAGGCTGATTGGTAACTCTAAATTGCCCCTAGGTGTGAGTGAGAGAGTGAATGGATGTTTGTCTCGTTTGTCTCTATGTGTCCCTGTGATGGACTTGCGACCTGTCCAGGGTGTACCCCGCCCCTCGCACAGTGATTGCTGGACATGGGCACCAGCGACCCCCGTGACCCAAAATGGAATAAACGGGTAAAGATAATGGATGGATGGATTATAATATAATAAAAACAAGCTTGTGGTCAAGCATTCAGAAAAGTATCATTGAGCATTTTGGAGACAAGACATTTGAGGGAACTCAACATCAGGAGCCAAATATGAAGGCAATGTGTTTGTCTGGACCATATTGACAACAGCAACATTGGGCAGAGGGCCAGGAGGACAGACGACCAGTGAGATTTCCTCAAAGACAGGTACTTGCTGAGAGATGTTATATTTGTCTGTAACCCTCTCAAACTCAAGAACGCGAGAAGTGTCACTGTCATTATTTCCAACCCTCTCAGAGTCGAGGGCAAAAAAGGGTCATCTGTGAACATCTCAAACTTGGAAACAGAAACTGATAGAATAGTGTCCCTCTTAGATTTTGTCCAGTACTATTCAGTATTTGTCTCTATCTATCTCCTCATCATCCTTGACCTGCTTCCCTGTCCACGATGAAGAAAACCATCCCCTGCAGTATGATACTGCTATCACTGTATTTCACAAAATGGACAGACTGTCCTACCTGAGCTGTGGATCTCTGCAACTCCTTCAGAGTTATCATGGGTTTCTTGGCTGCTTCTTGAAATATTGTTCCCCTTGCCCAGCCTGTCAGTTCAGGTGAATTTGAATTGGCAGGTTTGCAGTTGTGCCATATTCTTTCCATTTTCAGATGACGGATTGAACAAGCTTCATATGTTCAAAGCTTAGTATAATAATTTATAATCAACAACTTTATCCCTGACTTGTCAGGTGTAGTCTTTGGTCTTCATGATGTAGTTTGATCATTAATGTTCTTTAACAAAAAGCTGGATTCATACTGAGACGAAACTACACACAGGTGTGTTACCTGGTCACACAGAGTTGCAACAAGTCCTTCCAGGTCATGCTTCTCATGAATCACCATTTGCTTCTCCTCGTATTCCTGCTCCAGTTGCATCTCCAGCTGCTTCAGCTGCACACAGACATTATAAACAGATAACATATGGAAATAAATAGGTGGTATTGTCAAGGATCTGATGGCAGAGGATCCCACACACAAACTCAGAA